TCCTTCTAGCTCTAGAAAGAATGGCAGTCATTGAGAAGTCAAAATATAGCAAATGCTCATGCAGTTGTGATGTAAAAGGAACACTCCTACATTGTTTCTGGGTATGTAAAACAGTACAACCATGAAGGAAATCAGTATAAAGATATCTTTTAGAGAAGGAGGGAGGGAGCTGACAGGGAAGAGGATTAGAAAAAGAGTTAAGCTCTGTTATGTACTTGATAACTCCCCCAGGATGACTATAAACTGCATGTACTGCAAATTTGCATGAATAAAACTAAAATCAAAATTGTAATTTCTTTTAGCTGTACTGATCATGATTTAGCGATTTTGTTTTCTGCATTCAGGATAATTATTCACATCCCATAAAATGAGGAAATATGTGCGTGTGAATTTGTGCAGTGACTGATACACAGATAATCATGGGCCACATAGGAAGTGATGGATGCAATAAACCTGAGTGTATGACGCTGTCTCATATTTGGATTGTATGATACACAGATGTGTTTGGCTGGACCTTGGCGACCTCAGACAATTTCAGTGAACCCCTAGCCTAAAACTTCTACTGTAATTTGTAGATAACTTTCCAGATGGCTTGTTGACACAAGCTGAAGAGCAAATCTTCCAGGAGGATGTGGGCCCTAGGGGTTGCTAGCAGTGAACTTGGATGAGTCATGGTGCCTCTAGGTGGAGAGAATGATGCTCAAATATAATTTACAACTTGTGTTTTTCACCTGAATGCCAGACCTCAGATGCAGAACCCAGGAGGCAAATAGTGGCAAATTCTTCCTGGATCCTCTGGGAGGTTTTGCTGAAAAGAGTCAGGGGCATAAGTGTTCCCAACTCTCATTTTAAAGCAATTGCTCATGATGTATGCATTCCTATGTCTGAGATAGCAAGGTTCCTCCTTACTTAGACAGCACGTTTCTGTCACTCTCTAAGATGCTGCTGTTGGTTATTGTGTTTTTTCTCCTGAAGTACCCTCCCTTAGTGTGCAGTTTTGAAGATGATCCCTGCCTATATGGAAGGAGCACCAGTGTGTACAAAGAAGGAGATATGGTGATTGGGGGACTCTTCTACCTTTTTATTTATGTATATCATGCTGACATTGTTCAACTGAAGCCTGTGAAGGACTCCTTTATAGCACCGTAAGTGTCTTTCTCATATATTTATTTTCTTTTTTGTCAGGGAGGATAATCTCTAAACATTTGTGGGTGATTACAATCATATTCATTCTATTGATGCCCTGTCTTCCCCACCCATAGATGTAAAGCACTGTCTTTTGACACTGGAAAGAGAAGTTTTTATGTCCTTAGCCTTCTCTTTTCAGTGTTAGCAGCTCATCACTCTCTGCCTTATTGGTGCTATCCGTGTTGCTTATCTCAATCGAGCTGCCACTGCGTAGCACATTGATTCATGTTCTTAAGAATCAGGGTCTGAGACATCATGCTGAATCCAGTGTCAAGCAGCTGTCTGACTGAAGTAAAAAATCAAATCCCTAATATAGTAGCAGTCATATTGCAGCAGTGATACTAATAAAAGCATACTAGCTTCTGTGGAATTTTTCTGAGTTGTAAAATAGTTTTCAAAAATGGTTTGAAGGTAAAATTTATGTGAGACTTTTCATTACAAAATAGTTTCAGATATTAAGTGGAGAATAAATTTTAGAAAAATTACAACTTTACATCTCCCAATGTGGCATTGGTTTGCATGGTCATTATTAATGTATACTAAAACCATTTGTTCAAAGGGTACTGGAAGAACCAACAAGCATATGCTTTCACATGATAACTTCATAGATTATGCAATTTTTTTCAGATGAAAAAGACCTTACATTGGAGAACTCTGGACTAATAAGGATTAAAAGGTGTGCAAATTTAACATCACTTAGAAAGAAATAAAATGATAATATTTGCTCATATTGTGATTAAAAATAGAAAATATACATCATTCTCTGGGGATTTTTCCTGCCTAAAAATGATTAATGTGAACCATTAAGACAAAGTGTGAGATACATTGGATGATCTCTTTAAATATTTCCTTTATATACAAGACAAAAAAAGCAAAAAGAACTACTTTTGATCAATAGAACTAGAGATATAATCTATCAAACATAGCAAGTGACTTTCAAATTGATAAAATATTTAAAAATGAACTCTAAACTGTTTTGGATGACAAACATACTCTGTATACAATACTGGGCCATCTTATTTTTTAGTAATGACTGCATGACTACAGGGCATCCACTATGATTCATAAGCCTCCTGCTAGAAGAGATTTGTATTGTAGATACTCAGTTACTTTCACATAATGTGCATGTCATGGCTTTCTGCATTGTGTCCTCCACAACCCATGGACCTGCAAGTTAGTGCACAAATAAGGAATAATTCAGGTGTGAGGTTTTCAACCTCTAGATTGATTTTTCTTCACATGCACAAGTGGGAATGCTCTCTTCTCAGACATTATGACATCAGTCCTGTAGCCAAATATACAGATAAATTACTGGATTTTGAACAAAACCAGAGGACTGTAGCAGATTCATTGTGTCCCTGTGTGGGACTGGGATGCCACTGACATGATAACTGATTAGGTTTTATCAGATACTGAAGTCACATGTGTTCCTGTAACTGTGAGCAGTCAGGGCAGTGGAGGAAACATTGACCTTTCACTTTCACAGGTGGTATCTGTATCTTTTTTTTTTTTTTTTCGTTTTTATCGGTACCAGGGATCGAACTCACGACTGCCTGCTTGCAAGGCAGGTGCTTATGCCGCTGAGCTAAATCCCCAGCCCCTTGTATCTTTTTCATATTTATCATTGTGTCCCAATGCCAGCTGATACTTTGGTTGCTGAACACTTTCCCAATGATGTCATGGTTTTTGAGACAAGGTCTATTTATATTACCTTAGTTTAACATCCTCTCTATTTAGGTCTCTGGAGCAGCTTGCAGTACAGGCAGGTCATATTTTACGTGGCCCGTGTGCTTTCAAATTCTGTTATCTGTTTTCCTTACTGACATAAAATTCCTTGAGCTTTAATTCTGCTATATGCTATGGAATATTTTTTCAGGTAATGATACAGTGGTGGGAATATGGAGTGGGTGGGCCAGAGAACCCTACTGTCAATTCATTGAAACCTTTTAAAAATAATCATTGCATTTTTTGAGACTAGTAAGGATTTTATTTAATAAGGACACAACTCTTTGTGTCCAGGCTGACTTAACTACATAGTGGGAAAAAGTACTAAGGGAAACATGAGACAGTATTTAGTTTTACTAAAACCAGAAGCAAAATGAAAACAAATTTTGAAAGAAAATTGCATATATTTTCTCTGTATATCAATAATATATTGCAAAAATAAGTTTAATATTTTATAGGAGGAGATGGTCTCTGTATTCAGAAATGCAGTAGCTCTAATAACTAAAATAGTCAAAATGATATATTAGGTTTTTCTTCAACCATGTATATGTACTATATGTGGAGTCAGACATATTGTTTCCATGGTTTTGTAAGCCATGATTCTTACACATAATATTTTGACATATACATCAAGATGTTCTAGAAAATTTATGTGCCTCCATGATATATCCTGTAAAATCAATAAAATTCATTTTTTCATACATTTTGTAACTTCCTAAATTTCTAAGTGGTTTCTTCTCTCATGTCTTTATAAAGAGGAAGTTTATAGATAAAATTTTGATAGATATTAGAGTGTAGTATAGAAATATACATATGCATGGTCTCTGATTAAAGTAAGTAAATACTGAGAAGCAAATTGGGCTCAAACCTATGTATATTTTTTAAACAAATGTTTATTTTTAGTATCAAATATTGACCTACAAATATAATGTAGTGGATCATGCAGGGGAATATTATTTCCTTAATATTTACCTTAATCAACTGCTCTCAATGGATCTTTGCAAAACACATGATGTTGCTCTATTTACATTATGTTTTAATAATTCAATTGATTTTGTTTCATGTATTTCCTCAAAATACTGAATTTTGTAACTTCTGTGATCTATCTATATCTATATCTATATCTATATCTATATCATCTATATCTATATCTATATATCTTGTCTTTGCACTACTTCAACCATTACCATGTCTATAGTCAGTTTTCCCAGCAGCATTTATTGAATATGCTATCTTTCATCCAAAGAAGAGATTTAATCCATGTCAAATATAACATGGTAAGTGTACCTTGGGCTGTTTTTGCATCTTCTCTTCTGTTTAATCAACCTACAAGTCTGATTTTGCCAATAACATGCTGTTTTTATCACATAGCTTTTTAGTATAATGTAACTCTAGGACTGGAACACCTCCTGCATTGACTTTGTGGCTCAGGTGCATTTCTTTGATGAGGCAGAGGGCTAGGTAACATAATTTCAAACTTTTCCTTGATGGTATTCTCCTCCCAGGCAAGTTTCCTAATGTGTCACAGGTTTCCTTTAACATCAGTTTCCCTCTTTGTTGCTACTTCCACTTCCACTTCTGCAAGCTGCACGAAGTGCTTAGTACATGTTAAGTATAAAATCTAAGACTGCATGGGGACCAATTCTCCTAAAGATGGAATTAATTTCCTGCTGGTATAGCCACAGTTAGGATATCATCTGAATTTTGCCTGCTATATAAAAATAGATCTCAACATAGTGATTGAAAATAATTATAGATATCTAAATTTTGATTTAGTAAATGAAAAATGATAATCTTTTTTAGCTTATCAGTGACTGTCTGGCCAATGTATATTCCTATAGCAAGAAGATGCAATTGTCCTAAAATTTTTGAGCCTATTACCTTAGTCATTAGAAATCTTTCCTTCAGTTCTCATCTAGCCTTAAGAACATTCCCAAAAGAAGACCACTAATACTGTCACATTTATGCCTCAGTTTGAAAAACATGGATTTAGGGAAGGAAGCTGAGCATTCAGTTCATAGATACTTTGGCACTAGAATGCAATAGATTCAGTGTTTACAATAAAGGTCTCTATGCTCTCTATGCAGGCATGTGCCCAATAGCTACCAGAATGTTCTAGCCTTCCTATTTGCCATAGAGCAAATCAACAAGAATCCTCATCTTTTACCCAACATATCTCTGGGATATGAGTTCCATAACTTTCCTTACAGTCACTGGAGGATGTTGGAGACTTCCCTCATTTTGCTCACAGGACAGAATGACATCCCTAATTACTCCTGTAGAAGAAAAAGCAAGTCTGTAGCAGTGTTAACAGGAACATCATGGGCAGCTTCTGCTCAAGTTGGAACCCTGCTGGAGCTCTACAAGTTTCCACAGGTAAGCATGAGTGAGATTAGGAAAAATAAAATGAAGTCTTGCATGGAGACATTCTGAGATGATTAAATAGGGTGGCAGAAGGCTCCTGGTTAAAACACACCTTAATCACTGTGAAATTTCAATACTTAAGTTCAGACAGACTTAGTGATTTGCTCAGAAGTTATTTTGTCTACAGAAAAATAGAGGGAGAAAGAAACAAAAATTTTTCCTAAAAACTTGTGCCTCATAGTTGTTTTCTAGAAAGTCTTAGTGAATGGAGATGAATAGAAAGACTGGATCAATAGTATCTCTTTCTATGCCTTCCTGCCATTATTTAGTATTCAGGTTTGTACTTGTGCTTTGTCAACACTCTCCTTAAATTCCTTGCAATTTTCTTTCCTTTTAGGTTTCATTTGGGTCTTTTGATCCTGTGCTAAGAGACAATGGACAGTTTCCTTCTATCTATCAGGCAGCCCCTAAGGACACATCTCTGGCCCTTGCTATGGTTTCCTTGCTGCTTCATTTCAGATGGACCTGGGTGGGACTGGTCATTATGGAAGGTCAGAAAGGATTTCAGTTTCTCTCAGATGTGAGAGTGGAGATGGACAGGAACAAAATCTGTGTAGCATTTGTGAAAATGGTCTCAACTCATCTTGTATCATATATGGCATCTGCAAAGGAATACATTATTTTGACTAAGGAAACTTCACAAGTGAATGTGGTGATCATTTACTATGACACTGATTTCCTAAATGATGTGAACCATAACATAGAGCAGAACTTATTAACAGGAAAAGTCTGGGTGACCAACTCACAGTGGCATGCTGACATGACTGGGAAAAACTTCATCCTCAATTCATTCCATGGGACACTCATTTTTTCTAATCATCATGAAGAAATTTCTGATTTCAAAACTTTTGTCCAAGAAGCCAACCCTTCCAAATACCCAGAAGACTTTTACCTCACTAGATTTTGGTTCAGCAATTTCCATTGCTCATTCTCTGATGCTGACTGTTCATTGAAAGACTGCACACCCAATGCCTCGCTGGTGCATCTGCCTGCAAATCATTTTGACCCAACCATGACTGATTGGAGTCACAATGTACACAATGCTGTGTATGCTGTGGCCCATGCCCTGCATGAGATGCTTCTTCAACAAGCACAAATGTCATTGATGGGAAACAAGAAAGTGACAATATTTTCCCCCTGGCAGGTAAAGCATCCTTTTTTATAATGGCATGCAATGAAATCAAGGTGCCTGAGAGGTTTAGAAAACATTATCCAAAACACAAGTGATTCCACACCATGTCATTGTTAAGGAGGTAAATTATGAGCTTTGTTCGAGTGGTCACTTAGTAAGAAAACACTGGTATCAAAAAAATCAATAGGAGACCAGATCATTGCTTTTCTCTAAAGCATGAATGTGTCCACTCAGATAACATATTTATTATACAAATCTAAGTATTTTTCATAAGCTGCCTAGTATAAAAGAAGTAATTATATTCTTGAGTTTAAATAGCATTAAACTCTATATTAAGTGTATTATCTTGAATTTCTCATTTCATACTGCAGTGTCTTTTGCTTGTGAAGCCTTCATTTTGCAACTGTAAGTTGTGGGAACCTGCAAGTTAAAAATAATGAAATATCTTGTTTTGCTTTTTTTTTTTATCGGTACCAGATTTCGAACTCATGACCTCCTGCTTGCATGGCAGGTGTTATGCCACTGAGCTAAATTCCCAGCCCCATAAAACTAATGAAATATCTTGGAATTTATTTTCTAACTTGAATGAAAAAATTTTTTAATTAGTTTGGATTAAATTTTTCTCCTGAGATTTATCATTTTTTTAAGAAAAATGAGATATTTTGTCTTCCATGACACTTCATTTATTCTACTTTATAAAATGCCAGTGTCCATATTGCACAATGTAATAAAAATTAAAGATAATTAGGAGCTTTTCCTTGTTCATTTGTGTCTTAATCATGGAGTCCTGTTCAGCAAAGGGTGATTTCTCTTTTAGCTCAACCCAATTTTGAAGAACATTCAATTTAACAATCCTGCTGGAGACCAAGTGAATTTGAATGACAGAAGCAAAGTGGATGTACAGTATGACATTCTCAACTTTTGGAATTTCCCAGAAGGCCTTAGACTTAAGGTCAAATTGGGAGCATTTAACCCACATGTGCCACATGACCAACAATTGTCTTTATCTGATATGATTGAGTGGGCCACAGGAATTACAGAGGTACATTGGATATAATTATAAAGCACTTCAGTAAAAATAAATAAAAAATATTGCTGCAGATTTTGCATGCCAAATTTTATGTAATGGGAAACTATGACATTTAAAACTCTCAATTTCAATTCCATCAATTTTCTCATTGGATAGTTAGTTTTCCAATGCATTGGAAAGGGGCATATTTATTTAATTATATTTTATAAATGTCTATAAATTTTATGTTGTCAAATATGTCACTCACACATACATATATGTAATATTTGTGTAATAAAATTGATTTTCTTTCAAGTTCTAAAGGATTGATACATTTCTAAGAACTCAGCAACCTTTATTTTGTCCTTAGATGCCCTACTCTGTATGCAGTGAGAGCTGTCATCATGGATTCAGGAAGACCTCTCAGGAGGGAAAACCTGCCTGTTGTTTTGATTGCACCCCCTGCCCAGAGAATGAGATCACCAATGACACTGGTAAGAGTGTGTCTTAGGAAGATATTCTCCATGTTCATTTCATATTCACCCCATTCATCCAGAAAATGGAAAAAAGAGTTCCAGAGGCCAATAATGACAAAATTATTTCTTCTGTCAGGTGGAAATTTATTTGTTCAACTCAGGACATCCTCTGTCCCTCCCTCTATATGTACTATATGTATAGATTAACTTTTTCTTTTTTTGCATTTCCTTTTCCTTCTTACATTGGTGAGGACTTCTTACATTGGTGAGAACTTGCAGGTTCCCACAACTTACCAAGTGGTTCCTCCATATGTAGCCATATCTCCATGTCTTTTGTTGTTTTTATTTTTTTGAGACAAATCTTGCAACTTTTCACCAGTCTTTCTCAGATTACTGTGTAGCTAAAATCACAGACACACAAACACTCCAAAACTATTCCAAGTTGCTTTTTTGACCTACTGAAAACATTTTCACATGAAAATGCTTCTCCTACCCTATCAACTATGAGTTCCATCTTCACCATAAAGCTTAACACTAGCATTGTTAAACAACAGCTATGCACATGATTGAAACCTCATTTTAATTACATTAGAGATGAAGATCCACAATTTTCTTACTTTTCAGGATCTAGCACTGATCTTGACAGAAAGTAGGTGCTCAGATAGGTGCTCAGAGACTCTGCTTGACCTGAGACAGAGATAGATCTTTAGTGTGGTGCATGCCTGGTGTACACTAGGACATCAGTTACTAGCATGTTATCTCTGCTGTACCAGAAGTCACACATCAATAGGGGAAATAACGTACATCCTGAATCATAGTTTTTGCCACAGAGCTGCTGGGTGGTATGAATTCAGTCTAAGAGATTGAATGAGTGATGGGATCTCTATTTTTAGGAGACTGTCAGAGACATTTCTCAGGGGGAGACTCCCATCACCAATTTGGTGTATCTCTCTTTGTGCTGTTTGCTTCCCTGGGATGAACATCTGACTATGACCTTTAGTCCGCTGACTATGAAAATCTGGGCCACAGTAAAATCCCTTGTTCTATGTTCTCCATGGCAGGTGTTTTGTAGCAGAGATAAGAAATTGACTCATTCATTATTATACCAAGAAGAAGTAAGGTAACATTATTCTTTGTTTAGCAGAAGTGGCCCAAATGGCTCATGCCCATTTGTATATTATTAAAAGGCTAAAAATAAATTCTGTGTCCTTAAAACACAGATAATATTAGGGTGAGAATAGAGACAGTGGAAAGAAAATTTACCGAATCACGCACCTGATAATTTTTGAATGACTTTTGAAACACTTGACATGACAAAAAACTATGACATGGTAATTCAAGCTTATGTATTCACACTACTAGTAAGCCTGTACCTTCATGATAACTCTTAATGACCCACCAAACACATGCCTACCATATAGTTAATCCTAGCCCATGACCGCTCACAGGAGCTTTGTCTGCCCATCTTTATACTGCATATGTTCTAATTTGCTTTAACAGCAAACATGTGATTTCATTTTGCAACCTACTTAGTATGCTTTCAAATTTGGTTTGAAGTATTTCAAGACTGATGATGTAACTTACATTAACTTGGATATGTATTCTCTATGGAGTTTCAGTGTGTGATACATTCCCGTTAAGTTGTTTATACTTCTAGTTTCTGAGTAACAGTTTTCAAAATTTTTTTCTCATACAATAATTTAAAATGCAAATTAACAAGCTCCTGTACTTGAATGACTTATCAAAGATTAAAGCTGAAGCAAAAACTATTTTAGTGAGAAATGCGTATATCATATTATACTTATGTGCTATGAATATTCAGTTATTGAAAAAAAAGTTCTGCATTTGAAATATTTTTAAAAACTAAGTAATAAAGTGAAAATTGAAACAAAAATGCAATATGAGCAACAAAATAAAAGGAATGTTTAAGAAATTAAAACACTAATAAAGATCTCAACAGAATCAAAGTTGATTCTAGTAAAAAAATTGACAACAATGAATACACTAGAAATTGACACACCTTTCAAAAACAATAATATCATAGCTAAAAATTATTTTGCCATTTCTTTAGATCTATGGAAATTTTCCTTATGAATATGTAGTTTAGAGTTCACTGTTTTATATCAATCTATTTGAATGTTTGCTTGAAACCCACAAACTACAGGAAATAGCAAAAGATTTCTAAGGAAAAATAAAACAAATTGACCAAATCCTATTAACACATATGGATTCTTAAGTTAATATTTCCCCAAAATATTTATATGGATTAAGTATTAAAGAAACTGTTTCTAACCTACTCCTAGTTATATCATCCATAGTAGGAATGAAGTATGCATGAAGGAATCGGTCAGCATTCTACTGATGTACTTTCATGTTTATGTTCATTGTACACAATGCATAGTAACCAATACAGAGTCACTCTAAGATGTCATTAGAAAGTGAATATAGATTTATTATATATACATTAATGTATTCAGTCATAAAGTAAAATGCAATTATGAAATTTTCAGAACAATAATGAAATTGGAGATCCTCATGTAAAATGAAATAAACCAGACTCATGCAGAGAAGTATCATACATCCTCCCTGATATGTGCGATCAAGATAGATGGTATAAAGTGGAAAAGAGTCTGTTACTAGAGAAAGGGAAAGGAGTAGATGGGAAGGTGTGTAGGGGCAGGAAAGGCTGGCAAACACACACACACACACACACACACACACACACATATATATAATATTATAATGAAACATTAGTTCATAAAATTAATAGGCACTAATAAAATATAAAAATAAATGCTATGAGGATTCAAAACTGAAAAAGGTGTACCAGTGGTGAAATTTTAATTTTTAAAGCAACATACCAATACTAATTTACATCAACTCCTTCACACAAACAAAAATATAACACAATCAGTTATGTTAAGAGGATACCTAAAACCCGTGAGTTCTGTAGACTACTACCCTTTCACAGAGAAGGATTAACTTCACTCATTTGTAGGAAAACTGATGCACCTTGAGACCATAATGAAAGTGAAGTATATCTGACACATGAGAGGAAATATGGCATGGTATCTCTCATTTGAAAAACTCAACATGTAAAAACATAATGAAAAGTAACAAAGAGGAAAAAGGAAAGGGAGACAGAGTTACTGTAATACAGCATGGACAGTTTATCAAAAAGTGTTGATTTAGGATAGCTGTCTTATATGTTATTTGTCTGAGGAGTCTTGTGTTAATCTGATATATATATATATATATATATATATATATATATATATATGTATGTATAGCAATAAAATGTATAAGGATTTATAAGATAAATAAATGAATTAGAAGCTGGCACAATAAAAGGACAGTAGAGAAAGAGAAAAAGAATTATGAAGTATTATGTACATGTACCAATTCCCTGCAGTGAATGGACTCATTATGTACTGAAAACATGTAACATAATTTTTTTAAAAGGAGAAATAAAGGCTACACTATATTACCACCAGATGACAATGTCATCACAATAAGCTAAGTTTATAGACCACTTTCCTTTGGGAACTAAATTGGCATATTCTATTCCAAATTTACACATATTCTAAATAGGGAATCCATGGCCAAATTTATTCTATTAAATATAATTTAGTGTACTATGTCTTTAAAAAATAGAAATGGTATCAATGAATGAAGAAAATTTAATAATATCAAAATCCTTTCCATGATTTATAAACAAAAGCAACACTTAATAAATTAAAGATAGGAAGAAACTGCATACATCTTTTAAATGACATTTATACAACCCCAAAGTAAACCACACATTTTGCTGTTAAATTCTGAAGGCAAATGTCACAGTAGGATAATCCTTATTACTCCCACCAGAATACGCCTTATTACTCCCACCAGATATGTTACATGTCCCTATTGATACAAAACACTCAGAAAAACATATAAAACCAATTAAGTATGAGAAAAAAGAATATATTTGGGGTAATTTTATATAGTGTTGGTTTGTAAGTATAAAGCACACAGAAATTAATAATTGAACCAATGGTTATGGAACATAAAGTGAAAAGTAATCTATTGCTGTAGGTGAGTCATTACCCATTACATGAATTCATACTTAAGAAATCTTAAAGTATTAATGATATACTTGTAAAATTTATAAGTATTCTGAAAGTACAGAGCACTCTCCTGTACAAGTCCAAAAATATCTGTCTAAATAACAAATCTGAAATAATTGAAGAAAGCAAGTTCATGGATGTAAATGTTCAACAGTGGAGGATGTTAGCATTTGACAATTTGTTTTATATAAACTATGTAATTGTTATACAAACTGCAGCATGATTTTTCAAGAAAGCCTCAACTTTCATGGAGTGGAGCAAAATATCCTACATTACAGTGTAAATCTCATCATAGTGCTAGAACATGGTAAATTATTTGGGTTTCTCAAGTGGTTATTCACTGAAAAAATCTGTAAAGCATGAATTTTCAGGGGTTAGCTCTAGATAGGTTTATACTTTTATTGTCCTTCGAAAATATAGAACTGTAAAAGAAAAGATTGATTGGGAAATACTGTCAATATAACATTCCCTTGTCAGTGTCTAGAAAATCAAATGAAAACTTGGGTATGTTGATGCAGCCCTGGAATACAGGCACTCCAGGAGGCTGAGACAAAAGGATCACAAGCTTGAGTGCAGCCTGGGCGACTCTGTGATTAAGATGATTTCAAAACGTAAAAACTTTTAAAGGAAGAGTTGTAACTCAGTACAAAGGTCTTGTATTCAAGATTCTTGTCTAGAAATAGAAAGAAAGTTATTTTAAATGAAAAACAAACATGAAACAGAAACAAAAGAGCACAAGTATTCTTAGGAAGACCTATGAAATTCTATGAATAGTTGAGTGAATATTGAAAATTAATGAACTTCAGCTAATGAGAATTTAAATTTTTCAGTAGATATGGAGCAGTGTGTGAAGTGTTCTGATGACCACTATGCCACGATACAGCAAGATCTCTGCCTCCAAAAGTCTGTGACTTTCCTGGCTCATGAAGACCTCATGGGGAAGATGCTGGCCGGCACAGCCCTGAGTCTCACTGTTCTCACAGCTGCTGTTCTTGGGCTCTTTGTAAAGCACCAAGATACTCCCATTGTTAAGGCCAATAACAGAGCTCTCAGCTATACCTTGCTCATTTCCCTCATCTTCTGCTTTCTCTGCCCTTTACTCTTCATTGGTCAACCCAATACAGCAACCTGCATCCTTCAGCAGACCACATTTGCAGTTGTCTTCACTGTGGCAGTTTCCACTGTCTTGGCCAAAACTATTACTGTGGTGCTGGCCTTTAAGGTCACTGCTCCAGGAAGAAGAATGAGGCAGTTGCTGGTATCAGGGGCACCAAACTACATCATCCCCATCTGTACCATGATCCAACTCACTCTATGTGGAGTATGGATGGGGACAAACCCACCCTACATTGACACAGATGCACACTCTGAACATGGTCACATCGTCATCATGTGCAACAAGGGCTCCCTCGCTGCTTTCTACTGTGTCCTGGGGTACCTGGGCTCCTTGGCCATGCTCAGCTTCACTGTGGCTTTCCTAGTCAGGAACCTGCCTGACTCCTTCAATGAAGCCAAGTTCCTCACATTCAGCATGCTGGTGTTCTGTAGTGTGTGGGTCACGTTCCTCCCCATGTACCACAGCAGCAAGGGGAAGGTGATAGTGGCCATGGAGGTCTTCTCCATCTTGGTCTCTGGTGCAGGGCTGCTGGGCTGCATCTTTGCCCCTAAGTGCTATATTATTTTGTTAAGACCAGAGAGAAATTCTCTGCATGGATTCAGAGATAAAACACGTTCTGGTAAATAATAAACCTTCTTAGTTTAAAAATATCATTTGTGACTTCCGGGAGAACATGGCGGACAGACAACAGCAACTACCGGAGGCTCTCTGAAAGACTCGGCTCAGAAGCCAGGAATGGTGTGGACTAAGGAGACATAAGCAGGTGGAGATATGCTCTGCTGACTCAGGAGCGAACTGGGCTGAGAGAAACCAACTTGGAATGCAGTCCTGGTGCTAAAACATGAACAGAAAAGCCTCGGTGTGGAGGCTGGACCCCGCGCCATTGTAAGCCGCGATTTGGGTTTCCCGCCGCACAGCGGCTGGCTGCCTCTACAGTGGCTCGGCAAGGAGAGAGACACGCAGAAGCTCTGAGAACGGCAATCTGCGAATGGCAGGGAGGCGTGCACTGACTTGTGGTGAGGTGAGTGAGAGAAACTGACACTCTACCACAGTTTGACTCCAGCAGAGGACTTTCTGGGCCTGAGCAGTCCTGTGGGAGCAGGGCGCGGTGGCGACTCCAGCCACACATCCCCCTCTCGGGCGGGATTGGTGAAAAGTGCCTGGCCTGCGTGACGCTGCCGGCGGACCTGGTGGGCTGACCCAACCCAGATCCCAGAGCCTGACGGTGGCCGGGAGGGGAGACGCATAGGCTGCCTGGTCTGTAACTCCCTGGTGCGCAGCGGTGAGCGGGAACACCTAGCTGGTGCAATTCGATCAGGCTGTGGCTGACTGGGAGAGAAGCTGGGCCTCTTATATAAGCTTGCATATATAAGGAACAGAGAAGAAGAGGCAGCATGGGAAGAGGCAGCAACAAGAAAGGCTCCTTGGCCCCCAATTCTGAGAAACAGGCAATAGCAGACACCGCACCAATACACATAAGGCACCATATAGAGAGCCTCATAGACCAATTCAGGAATGAAGTTATCAATGACCTGAAGCTAGAAGTATGCAGAATAGTTAGAGAAATGCTAAGTACCACCCAAGAAAAAACAGGTGGTGGAATGGAAGAACAGAAAAAAAGGGGAGAATTGTTTGATGGAGAAAACAGAGAAAGCATAGAATACATGAAGCAGGTTCAAAGGGACTACCAAGATACGAAGAAGTCTATAGAAGACTGGCATAACAGCTTGAAAGAAACTAAGGACAGACTATCTGAACTGGAGGGCAGACTTGTAATATGGGAGAATGAAATGAAAAACTTCTTAAAAATAACAAAGAAACAAACATCAATAATACAAAGACAAGAAGATGATAAGAGGAGCCATAACTTAAGGATTAAGAACATAAAAGAAGAAGTAGGGACACAAACAAGTGAACTACAAAAGCTACTCACAGAAATAATCCAGGAGAATTTTCCTAATTTAGCAAAAGGTAAAGATACTCTGATGTATGAGGCATACAGGACCCCAGCTACCTACAACCCAAACAGAGCAACACCCAGGCATATAATAATAAAAATTCCAGAAATTCAATACAAGAACAGAATATTAAAAGCTGTAAGAGACAAGAAACAGACCACTTACAAGGGAACACCCATCAGAATTACAGCAGATTTCTCTGCACAAACCATCAAATCACGAAGAGCGTGGGGGGAAATAATTCAAGCTTTGAAAGATAATAATCTCCAGCCAAGATTGAGATATCCTGCACAACTGTCCCTGGAAATTGATGAAAAAATGAGGTGCTTCCAGGATAAAGAGGAACTGGGGGAATTTGCAACCACCAATTCAACTCTACAGAGAGTATTGCAGGATATTCTAAAAAAAGAAAAATACAAAGAATCCAGAAATAATGGCAGAGAGGCCACAATGAATGGAGCAGAGAACAAAATGAAGAAGACAAACTGACAGCTACTGACAGAAAAAGAGCTCAACAGAAATGAGGCAGAGAAGATTGGATGATAGGAACAGCTATTTTGGAGAAAATGACATCTTAATAGGTAATACTGATTTAGTATCATCTTGTTTTGAAGTCTCATCTAGCTTTTGTCCTGTCTCCAATGGTCTAAATAGGCTGTATCTTATTGGATTTTAGTATGTACGATAGTATAAGCAAAAACCTTTTAAAGACAAGGAGATTATACAGAAACCATTGTTCATTTTCTGTTAATCAATTCTAAATACTCTGTCATGCTGTCATTCTCTTGAATGGTTTTACATTGTTTTGATATACTTAATGCTACAGTATACGAAGTTGTACTCAAGGATTTCAAAAAAAGAGACAATATGGTAACTACTTTTAAGTTAGGATTATCTGGTGGTGAAACACTATTCTGCTTAAATGGTTATGTTTTGATCTGTGCTGTTTCGTTGTTATGCCCTCTTTTTTTCTCAATCTCCACTCCATTATTTACTTTTTTATCTTTATCCTTTTAATTAAAGGAAAAAAATAGCAGGATATATTATAGTAACCCACTTTGACTTTTCATTACCTTGATTTAAAGCCCTGTATTACTCTCACCATCTGGTTTTCAACTGATGTTCCCTTATTCTGTTTTGCTGGATAGTATCAGGTTCGAAAGTTTAGGCATCAGCTGTGAAGATAATGAGATTCATTATGACGCCCATTCTTGTTGACTTTTATCTACTTTTGAAGACCTACAATGTCTCCAATGTTTTGGTTTTGTCGGTTTTTTTTTCTTTACTATTTTGTTCAATTGTGTTATAACTAACGATATAGGCAATTCTATTAGAGATAGCGGGAGGCATTATGGTAACCATTGTTGATCACCTTGTATTATGTTTTTACATTTTCAATTATGTCCACCCTTTTGACTTGACTGATTCTGTTCTGTTATGTCACATTTGGTTTTACTCTCTTCCAAAAAAGCAATAAGAACCGTGGGAGCAATGAAACCCAAAATGCGTAATAGTCATGGTACAAAAGAGAGGAAAAGAAAGTGCTCCAAACTATATAACTGCATGTATATTTAAGTGTATAAGATAGAAAATGATATCACAGAGTTTTATTGGATCAATGAACAGAACTGTTTGCAGTATCATTGATGGAATGTCCACTTTACAAGCTTTAATTTTGTGACTTGAACAATTATTTCTAAGATGACAATATGTAATCCATTAACTAGTGATTTCCTACTGTTCATTTTTTTCTGTAAATCTGTATTACTTGTACCCTTTCCCTGCTTTTTTTTTCTTTTCTCCTTAAATAAAATTTAAAAAAAAATAAAAATAAATAAAAATAAAAATATCATTTGTAAAGTACAGTGCTTCCAGGACAAATCTGCAACATTTTATGGGTTAGTTATTAGATAAAAACATGGAGTCTACATCAGTAAACAACTGACTCTTACCTTTTCCTATGATAGTCTTAATGTTAATAACAACTATAAAAATTACCTTTTGATTTTGCATAATAGTCTGGAAATTTCTTGTTCTACAAATTTTTTCATAAATCTTTTTGTTTTTGTTTGACTTTTGTACTTAATTTTACCTTGTGTTCGACTTGTCCTTTTCAGTCATTTTTATTATGATAAATTTTTTCAGGTTATTAAATTTCTAATGTGGCAGGCAAGCGTGGCGCCCCGGAGTGCGGCCCAGAGGCAGCAGCAGCAGTTGGTGAATAACCTAAAGCGATCTCCGCTGGGAAGCTCTCCTGCTCTTCAAAGCTCGTTTGCTGAAGAAGCTTGCTATTCAACATCTCACTAACTGAAGGCTGAGTACATTTAACAATAAAACAGGGCTGCGACTCCTTAGTCAGCAGCGGCTGCTGCGGCCTGTGGCCCAGGCGGCTGGGAGAAGCGGAGTGTTGGTGAGTGACGTGGCAGAGGTGTAGTTTGACATGGTGTGTTACGTGGGGGAGAGAATAAAACTCCAGCAAGATCCGGGCTGCAAAAGCAGTGACTGAGGCGCTTGTACCACCACCTGCAGGAACTTTCACCCTGACTTGGGGGACCAGACCGGCTCCCCACTGGACCAGAGACCAGGCCTGAAGGGTGAGTAACAGCTGTGGCTGAGAGCTCCACCCAGCCTGCAGGAACTCTCGCCCTGACCTGGGGACCCAGGCTGGTTTCCCACCAAACCCAGGGACCAGCCCAGTTCAGAGACTATAGCAGCTGCGGCTGGGAGCCCCGCCCAGCCTGCAGGAACTTTTTCCCTGATTTGGGGGACCAGACTGGCTCCCCACTGGACCAGAGACCAGACCAGAAGGGTGAGAGTAACAACTGTGGCTGGGAGCTCTGCCCAGCCTGCGGGAACTTTCTCCCTGACTTGGGGGACCAGACAGGCTCCCCACCAACCAGAGACTAGGCCAGAAGGGTAAGAGTAACATCAGTGGCTGGGAGCTCCGCCCAGCCTGCGGGAACTTTCGCCCTGACCTGGGGACCCAGGCCAGGTCTCTACCAGACCCAGGGACCAGGCCAGATCAGAGACTGTGGCAGCATCGGCTGGGAGCTCCGCCCAGCCTGAGACACTCTTTCTGGTCTGAGGAGCAGGCCATAGTTCCCTACTGGGCCCAGTGAGTGGGGCCATCGCAGGGTACCCCAACCCAGGCTGGTGGATCTCTCTCCCATACCTGGAAGAACACTTGAAGCTTCCAAATACAGGAAAATGACAAAACAAAAAGTCTAAAATGCAATCTCAAACATCCCAAGAAAACCCAGGAGCCATGTGCATAGAAGAAAATTCATGCCACATGACTGAAATACCTGAAATAATGGTAACCGAAATAAAGAAGCAAGTATGGAAAGCCGTGAAGGAATTCAAACTAGAAATATTCTCTCAGATGAAAGAAGAATTGATAAAAGAAATGAAGCAGATGCTAAACATAGCTAAAGAAGAGGCAGTTAAAAAATTAGAGGAACTAAACAGAAGGATAGAATTCCTGGATGAATAGTATAGGAAGCAAACAGAATACATAAAACAGATGCAAAGAGATATACAGGAAATCAAAAACTCCATTGAAAGTTGTAAATACTGCCTCAATGAATGTGAAGATAGAATCTCAGACCGTGAAGACAAGATTGCAACAAGTGAACAGGAAAGAAAAGATCTTTTAAAAATAACAAGAAATCAGGAAATAACAATTCAACACCTACAGGACAACCCAAAGAGAAACAACATAAGATTGATAGGGATAAATGAAAAAGAAGGGGACAACATAAAGGATGTCAAGAGGATATTTAGAGAAGTAATAGCTGAAAATTTCCCAAACATGAGATTGGAAACTGATATCAAGATTAATGAAGCATATAGATCTCCAAATAGTCACAACCAAAATAAATCTACACCCAGACATATAATAATGACCATCTCAGAAATTGAACAAAAGAATAGAATATTAAAGGCTGTCAGAGAGAAAAGACAGATCACCTATAAAGGAAAACCTATCAGAATTACAGCAGACTTCTCAGCACAAACAATAAAGTCAAGAAGATCACTGAGTGATGTGTTTCAGATCCTAAAAGAAAATGATTTTCAACCTTGGCTGATGTACCCTGCAAAACTGTCTTTCAAATTTGATGGAGAAATATGATACTTCCATGACAAAGATCAGCTGAAAAACTTCATGATCACCAAGCCAACCCTGCAAAGAATACTGAAAGACAGCCTAGATACATTTAGGAAAAAACCACTAAACAAAGCAGACAGTTGAACAGAGCAGAAAGATAAACATGCAATGCCAGAAAGATAATATGTCAACAATAAACCAATTTATAACAGTTCTTACTGTTAATATAAATGGCCTCAATACACCAATTAAAAGAATCAAACTGGCAGAATGGATCAAGAAACAAAATCCAACCATATGCTGTTTACAAGAAACCCACTTAACTCAAAAGGATATTCACAGACTCAAAGTCAAAGGATGGAAAACAACATTCCATGCAACAGGAACCCCCCTCCCCCAAAAGCTGGGGTAGCTATTCTGTTTGCAGAAAAAGTCAACTTCAAGCCAATAATGATTAGAAAGGATAAAGAAGGTCACTACATACTGGTTAGGGGAAAACTCCAAGAGGAAGATATAACATCTTAAATATATATGCACCAAACTCCAGAGCACCCACTTATATAAAACAAGTACTAACAGAAATGAAAACCAAATCAGTAGTAATACAATTCTGACAGGAGATCTTAACACACCACTGACACCAATGGACAGATCAACCAAAAAGAAAATCAACAAAGAAATAAAAGAACTGAACTGCACCTGTGAACAAATGGACTTAATAGATATATACAGAGTATTCCACCCAACAACCACAGAATACACATTCTTCTCAGCAGTACATGGGTCATTCTCTAAAATAGACCATATACTAATTCACAGAACATATTTAAATAAATGCAAAAGGGTTGAAATTATCCCTTACATGTTATTGGACCATAGCGCCACGAAATTAGTAATCAACGATAAAAGATGTTGCAAAAATCCCACAAACACATGGAAACTGAATAACACATTCTTGAGTAATCAGTGGGTCACAGAGGAAATTAAAAAAGAAATTAACAATACCTACAAACAATTGAAAATACAGATACAACTTACCGGAATATATGGGATGCAATGAAAGCCGTCCTCAGAGGAAAATTTATTGCACTGAGCTCCCACATCAAGAAAACAGAACGAATACAAATAAATAACATGATGCTACACCTCAAACAGCTAGAAAAAGAAGAGCAAGTCAAGCCCAAAGCCAAAAGAAGAGGGGAAATTATAAAAATCAGAGCAGAAATCAATACGATAGAGACTAAGAAAACAATCCAAAGAATCAACGAATCAAAAAGTTGGCTCTTTGAAAGAATAAATAAAATTGATAAGCTCCTAGCCAACCTTATTAAAAGAAGGGAAGAAAGAGCTCAAATCCATGCAATAAGAAATGAAAAAGGTGAAGTCACTACAGACTCAATAGAAATACAGAAGATCATCAACACCTATTTTGCAAACCTCTGCTCTCAAAGGTTTGATAACACAGAAGAAATAGACAGATTCTTAGAAACATATGAAGTACCAAAGCTAGATCAAGAGGATGTAAAACTGCTGAATAACCCAATCTCTATCAATGAAATTGAACATGTAATTAATTCCTTACCTACAAAGAAGAGCCCAGGCCCAGACGGATTTACTGCAGAATTCTACAAGAAATACAAACAAGGCCTAATACTGACACTCCTTAAACTCTTCAATGAAATTGAAAGGGAAGCAATTCTTCCCAAGTCATTCCTGGAAGCAAATATTACTCTAGTACCAAAACCCGGGGAAGACCCAACCGAAAAAGAGAACTACAGACCAATCTCCCTAATGAACACAGATGCAAAAATCCTCAATAAAATATTGGCAAACAGGATGCAGCAAATCATCAAGAAGATTATACACCATGACCAAGTGGGATTCATCCCAGGCATACAGGGATGGTTCAGCATATGTAAGTCAATAAACGTAATCCATCATATCAATAAAGCCAAAAGTAAGAATCACATGAACATTTCCATAGATGCAGAAAAAGCCTTCGATAAGGTCCAACATTCTTTCATGATAAGAACTCTACAGAAAATTGGAATAGATGGTCTTTACCTCATTATAATAAAGGTTGTCTATGACAAACCAACAGCCAGTATCATACTAAATGGCCAAAAATAGAAAGCCTTTACTTTAAAATCAGGCACAAGACAAGGATGTCCTTTATCACCTCTCCTATTTAATATAGTACTGGAAGTACTAGCCAGAGCAATTAGACAAGAGAGAAAAATAAAAGGGGTAAAGATAGGAAAAGAAGAAGTTAAACTGTCATTATTTGCAGATGATATGATACTCTATATGGAAGACCCCCTAAACTCCATTGAAAGACTCTTAGATATAATAAATAAATTCAGTAATGTAGCTGGGTACAAAATCAATACTCAGAAATTGTTGGGAGCCGCGTCTGTGATAGCTCGCCTTGCGCGGCGGACGTGCGGCCTGTGGTAAAGAGCAAAGCCTGAGGTAGATTACCCCTCCCATCGAATATGTTAGTTTCCTGCTTACCGCGTAAACAACCCGCTCAACAATATAGTCTGCCTGGCAACTGATGATGTTAGCCAATCAGCTTGCCTTGCTTACTTTAACATGATTGGACACTGTACCCGTATATATACCGGTGCCACCCCTGGGCGGAAGAAGAAGCCAGGTAGAAGCCCGGAAGTAGAAGCCCAAAAGGAGCCGCGGAGAGCGGACCGGTAGAGGCTTTGGGGCAGACTGAAGCACAAAAGGAGCCGCGGGGAGCGGACCAGAGGAGGCTTCAGCTGGGAGAACCCAGGGCAGGCTGTACGGAGAAGGAAATTAAAAAGAAAAGGTTGTCCACTACCAGACTTTGTCGTGTGTCCTTCCTGCCGGCCGGGAGCGGACATCGACATTTGGAGGCCCGCCCGGGGACTGATCACCCCCGAGACGTGGAAGTGGACAACGCTCCAGTACAGAGCTGCGAGACAGGTGAGTTGGGGATAAGCCTGGGCTCTGGGTGGCGCGCACCTACAGGGCTTTTAGACTCCCCTCAGGCTCACGCGTAAGTGGCGGATTCCTTGGGCCTCACGCGGTGAGTAACATATTAAAAGATGGGAAACATGTTAGGTAGCAACACTAAGAGCGAGGGTGGTTGTGGAGAAAGCTCTCAAGAGCTTACAAAAGTACGCAGGGTATCTGAGCAGGCCCAGTCAGGGAGCTCCCGAGAGGG